AAGATTTTCAGAAATGTTTTTACATACTCAGGTCTTATTGGTAGTAAACAATGTGTAAGAAAAGGGTTGAGAAAGTGGGGTAATTCTACCAATGGAAAAAGACACTGACAGCTAAGCCATGGCTCCTCCTAACACCCAAGCCTAGGACACTAGAACGACAAAGCATCTAAAGGTTTCTAATCCCTACATTTCATCCTAACTTCACCCATAACTGGTGGATACCACCAGTGGTTAGCACTTCCTAAACAGTCTTATGTAAACCTTTTTTTTTTTTAATGGAAAACAGGGTATTTATTGTTATAGACCCCTAGCTAAACTTGAATATGAGTCAATCCTCCTGCCTCAGTTTCAGGAACATGTACGATCATGCCTGTACAATGGTATTCTTTTTTTCAGTGGTGGGGACTAAACCCCTCAGTGCTGTACATGTTAGGCAAGTATACTATCAATAAGCTTATATACTAGGCCTGTGGCAAACCTTCAACACTTTAATGTACTTATTAACTTCATTTTAAAACTATAACTTCAGCTATATTAGCAAGTGAAATACTAATACCATTTTATGTCTAAAAATTATGCACAATAGTTTCAAAGTTTGTGATATAAAGATTTCTTCTTCATTCTTTAAGATCTATGGAATAGCTAGGTGGTAGCTGGCACATGCTCTTAATCCCAGCACTCAGGAGGCAGAGGCAGGAGGGTCTCTGAGTTCGAGGCTAGCCTGGTCTACAGGAAGAGTTCCAGGACAGCCAGGTTACACAGAGAAACCCTGTCTTAAAACATCAAAAACAAAACAAACAAAGATATATCCGATAGAGGGCACTGATGGAAGTATAACCTTGACAATTTGTTTAAACATTATAGACTGATCTATAGAAGTATTTGTGACTTAACACGAATGACTACCCAATTAAAAGATTCTAGAAAGATACCAGGAACGGTGAGTTCTGAAAGCAAAAAGGCCTCAGCTAACTTTGAATTTGGTGACTTGAAGAAATTCTGCCTCAGAGCGGATCCACTCAGAGGATGAAAAACGAAGATGAAGCTTCATTCCAAACGCAGACACTAACAAAGCGAGGCAGCTCCTCTTCCTTAGTCAAATGTTACGAATGTCCACAATGTAACAGACCCACAATTAAGGAAGGACATGGGTAATACAGAGTATCTCCACTTAATCTCATTAAACTATGTGCCAACCTCTAGAACTCTTCCTCTCCTTGGCCTTGTAACAATCCAAGCAAGCCACGAATCCACACTTGCGGCAGACCCAGTGGACATTAAACAATGTCGCTTCACATGCGTCACACATCTCCCGGACACCTCGGACTGCTCTTTTCCAGGCAATTTTGGCTGAAATACAGAGAAAGCAATTTAAATGCTCTGTTTGGTGCACTTTTGGCTGAAATACAGATGTGACAATATATCAAGAATGTCTATAGCTATCTTAATGTAAAAACAAGAGTAGATGCTTGTTTCTCTATGGCACAGCTTCTCATGATACTGCCATATTCTCAAGCTGGCCACAAACTAACTTTCCTCCTGCTTACACTTCCTTGAGTATGGAGATTATACACCCAAAGCAGATTTCTTGATAACGAGCACAATTCTTGAAAAGACCCAGAAAGAATCCTAAGTAAATATTAAAATGGCCGGCTTGTATCCAAAACAGGGTTTCTACCATGTGTATAGTACAGCGTGGTTGGTGGGATCTGTGGTCTCCACCATTAGACAGCAAACAGTTATAGCCCTCACTTCTTCAATTAGGACACAAAAATAAAATGTTTCTAATTATTGCCATATATACTTTGGCAAACAATCCACTGATTTCAGGGGGAAAAGATAGAGAAAAAGGTGAACATAGGAGCACATGCCACACTAGTGCTTACTGATGCTAAGTACATTCAACTGAACAGAATCAATGTCATTACTTTGTAAACAAATATGAGGTGGTTAACTTTTCCATTTTACAGCCCTAATATTTGAAGACATTATCCATAAAAAAGTCATAAATAAGTTGAGATTCAAATGTAAAAAACTGTCATAGATTATGTACACATACATACACATCAAGTGATACTGCACAATTTTTCATGTAAAGAGATTTTGTCATACCAGTTCATGTTGTTATGAAAACATCAATTTCATGAACAATCCATTTAATTTCAAAGGAGAATTATCTGCATCTCAAGTATGTAAGAGGTGGCATTATCACAGCTCAAATACCAATAAAATTAGATAGGATGAGGGACTTAGAGATTAAACACAACACAGAGAAAATTCTTTAAAGGAAATTTGTAGAGTGCATGTTATAGTAACTTCCTTACCATCCTTTTTCACCCAGGACAAAGCTGTTTTTTCAGATGTTACTAACTGACAGAACTTATCACCTATAATGTCCAAGATATATTTAGAAGTTTCAATGTCTATTTCATCATCTTCATAATTTTCATGTGTCCATAAACTCATGGCTTCATCATCATATTGGTCAGGAGAAGAGAAACCATCTATCCTGACCACTCCATTCTTACTAAATGACAATCTGCAACAGTAAAACATAAAACCATTAGATACTAGCATTAGAAATAACTTTAATGCTCCTACTACATTATAAACATGTTATAAGATAGTTTCTCATACATACTTAAGTTATTAATCAATTTACTTGCCTCAGGCATTATCTAGTGGCTTGATAAGTAGCACTGAGTTCACATTATTTCAAGAAGTAAAGGTTGGGGATCAAAAGCTCAATGGTACAGCAATTACCCAGCATGCACAAGGCCCTGACTTCCAACCTTCAATAGGGCAACACCAACCATCTATTACTAGGAAACTACAGTCAGCTGTTAACTATTGGGAATACAATCCAAGTATTATATGAGTAAGAGAGCTAATATGTATGCCCAATGTTATCAAAGCAGTACTGTTATTTTTTTGCTTCCTCTTTCCCATCCACCCAACACTATAACACTGTAACCCAGCCTGACCATGAATTGGCACCAATTCTCCTGTGTAAGCTTAATGAGTTCTGGAATTATAAGCATGTACCACAATACCTGACATGTTATTTTACAACTATCCTTCCTTAGTCTAAAACTGAGACAGTTAAAAATGTTTTTAATCACCTTGAGATTTTTAGTTTTATCGCTGTACCCAGCTTTTTATTTTGATGAGATGTTTAGTTTTGGAGACAGGGCTCCGGCTAACTTCAAACTTGCTATACAACCTTGAACTTCTAAATCCCTGTTCCCCTTCTCTTTTAAAAGTAAGATATTCCTCTGATAAGGAGCACTGATTTTAGGTTATCTGAATTATGTTCAACCAGTTTTGTCTTCATCAGAACATTTCTTTTTGTCAAACCCAAAGTTTTCTCATTTTCCTCAAAACTACTCCCTTAACACCACTGGACTTTCTTCACCATTGCATGAGCACCACTTTCTGCAACTTGAACTTCTTCCTAAAGTAGCCTGCCTTGCCTTTCGGGACTGTTGGCCACAGACTCTTAAGTAAAAAAAGAATGTATGGCTTTGGTTGTGTTTTTTGAGATAGGGTTTCTCTACATAGCCCAGGCTGGCCTGAAACTCACAGAAATCAGCCTGCCTCTCATACATGAGTGGAACTATAGTAAGGACTGTGTGAGCACTACCTTCTCTCTTTATCCTTTGTTAAGTACCTACACATTTCCAAATCAAACAGCTTAGCTGTAATCCTTAACAGGTTATAAACTTCCCAGAGGCACCAAGGACAAAAGATTCTAGAGCAGGAGTCTTCACTGGTGGGGTCACCTAGTTTTTTTTTCCCTGAGACAGGGTTTCTCTGTGCAGCTTTGGTGCCTGTCCTGGATCTCGCTCTGTAGACCAGGCTGGCGTCGAACTCACAAGAGATCCACCTGGCTCTGCCTCCTGAGTGCTGGGATTAGAGGTGTGTGCCACCACTGCCCAGCCTCACCTAGTTTTGTTTTGTAATCAAGTCTATGAATGGGTTTTTATACTTAAAGTACTTAGCAATATTTATGTTAATAAATATCTGTAAATGATTTTTATATTTTACTATAAAACTTGTGAACTATGACAGTATACATTAGCTACAATGATTAAGTGTATATTTAACAAAAGTATGATCATTCCTATGTAACAAGACAATGACATGTTTTCATGGCCAAGACAGTTTTTCACCTGCATTCAAACAATAATGTTTACTTAAGTAATATGTTAAACTGTTTTGGCAAAAGCAAATACCTTTTTAAGAAATTTTAAAATCAAGACCTGGGTATTTTCTTGCCATTTTTAGAAAACAAATGCTAAAATTCCTGGTTAAGGAAGAAGTCATCTTTCAGAAGGAAGTTCTGGGAACGTAAGTAATTGAGTAATAATGTACAGAGGCCGCTTGTCAGCAGCTGGCACGGCACAGCAGAGGTAGTGCTGTTTAGACCCAGCCCCAGATCCAGGAAGGGGCCTCTCGGAATACTAGTACCATTCCCAAGACTCAATAACCCTACCCTGCCACTTCATCTATTCTGACTTACCTTCTAAAGTAGTAAAATCTACAAAACACTGGTGAGTGAGTTGATTCCTCTCCTTTCTTACTACGAATGAGTCTGCATTCTCGGCACTTCTGTAAATTGGGCCCGATCTCACAGCAAGAGTCATCTTGCAAAAAGGACTCTCCAGTCTGCTTCAGCTTCTTGACTTTTCGCCAGTCTTTCAGCACTGAACGAGGAATGCCAGCTGTGACATTGGAAGGAAGTCATCAGCAGGATTAGGTCTTACAGAGAGAAAGGAATACTCTTTGGGGTTAAATTCTAGTTGATTAGACAAATGACAGTTACATGATGGACAACTGCTAAGTCTACAGGCTCCTTTGTTTACCTGCTTACCCATTCTAACCAGAAAGGAAAGGAAAGTACATCCTCTCGTGAAATGAAATCTTTAAACATTGCATATTCATGTAAACATAATACAAAACATCAGAATCATTCACAAGGTATATGCCTTTAATTCCAGCACTTCAGCAGCTGAGGCGGGAGGAGGAGCAAGCACACGTTCACAGCCAGCCTGGGATATCTAGTGAGTACAGTACCATCAACAAAAAACAGTCACCACCTCTTGCTTGTGACAAGGACATCCATCATGTTTGACATCAATATATTGATGGCAAGAGTATCTTCTACACAAATGAAAGGGTTCTGAAGAAAGGGAGGAAAAGCTCACAATATGAACTGGGATGTATTTGTTGATGAAAATAATTAAAAAATAAAATGAACACACGAAGCAATCAAACCGCTCCCCGTTAGGAGTATCTCTAAAGCGCAGGTATGAAGGCTGTCTTTGCAAACATGAGAGCCCTTCTCAAGTGTAAAAGGAAAAACAAACAATCTCTCAAATGGACTACAGTCTAACATTTGAAGGTAAAAGATTCATTTACAACATTCAGTACCACTGTTCTTGTTTACTAACACGAACTAACAAGTAAAGGATGTTAGTAAACAATCAGTCATCTGTGTAACAGGAGCAACCCACAGACCAGGAGGATCCACAAAGTTCACACACAACTGTAATTCTACCTATAAAAATCTAAAAGATATGCAATTAAGAGCAAGCTTTGTTGCCACCAGCTGTATTTGTTAACCCTGTCTTTATTATTTGATGTACAGGCCACTATTTGTAACTGAAGAATAAGTATTTCCTATCCTTGTTTTCCAATCCATTTCGACTGTATCAGAGACAGATACAACTATTCTTTTGAAACCAGGTATTTCCTCAGAAACTTACAGCACAATTCCTGTCTAGAATTCCTACCAATATCTATTTAATGATAATATAACAGTGTAATTAGAAAAAAAAATCACTCGCACATAGTTAGTAGTAATGTTTTTAAGATTGCTGCCTGTGTCTTAAGCTCCCCTCTTTAGTCTCTATTTAGGGCTCAGAAGCCATTAGACCTAACCCAGGATCCACATATGCTCACGTACAGAGCACCACCAGTTAATGACTTACGGTACAAAGATGTTTCCAAGGCTACAGAGATGGCTCTCAGGTCAAGAGCACAGGTTGCTCTTCCAGAGAACTAAGCACCCCAGCGCCCACATGGAAGCTCACAACCTCCAATTCCAGGTCCAGAGGATCCAATGCTATTTCCTGGCCTCCACAGGAACCAGACACACACATAGTGCACCAAAATCCAGGCAGGAAAACACCCATACACATAAAAGTAAATAAGTATTTTTTCCCTAAAGATATTTCTTCTCCAATGTGTAAGAGAAATCTTTCCTATGGACTTTATTAAAGGGTATCAGAATGAACAATAGAAATATCACACCACTGATGAAACTTTTTGACACATTTTCTTCAACCATTTATTTACTTTTAAATTGATTGCACTAGATGCTATCTGTTTCTATTCTTTTTACTAGGAATTTTAACCAATATGCTTTTAACTACAGATGATGGTAACGGTTTAGAATGTGAAACTCTATAATATTGATTGTAAAAATTGTGAATATTTTTAAGAACACTTGAAAGCAATTCTTAATTATGTGATACTAAAACAGGTATTTTTGAATTTTTTTAAAAAATGAATTTTATAAAGGCTTTTGATAGTATAAATCTTCTTTACTGGGCCAAACAAGATGGTACTAAACTTCCTTTAGGAATTTAACAATAGTATTTGCTTAAAATAAGCATCATCCTTTAATTGTAAATATCTTATTGACAATTTACCTAAAATGTGTTGGTTTGAAATTAAGATCTGTTACCAAAAATTATCTAACAACACTGCTTCCTTTATACAGGAAGAACCTTTAAGACCTTTGTTTTTATTAACAAATTCAAAACACCTGACTAGTGAAGAAAACTGGGAAGGAAGAAAATGAGACACACATAAATACATGCTAACCTTTGATTTCTCACATGCCAACACCATAAATGTATTTTTGGATACAGAGATTAATTCAGATTGTAGGTGAGTCACAGATTATATACATCAATAAATATATTGTAAATATACTCAAATTTGTTGACAATTTCAGCTCATAAAGTAAATTTATGTAAAAATTATTTGGGAAAGGCAGCCAAATTCCAACTAAAAAGGCAGAAGATATGAAGATATGCCAAAACACTAAGTAAAGCAAAAATACTGTAGCTGTCTATAGAATGTACTAAGAAACATTCTACGTGTATAGGTATTTAAAATATATTAATTATAAAACATATTTTCATTTTAATGGAGTTAACTATAATTAAATTAATTATAATTAAAAGTATACATATATGATATTGTAACAATCATATGAAATCCTCTAACATGCAAACCCAACTAATTCTTTAAGGTGACCAAGACTAATGACAATTGCACTAAATAATGGGGAGAAAAATGTCAAATTTCATTCAAGAAGTAGATGTTAAAATTCTTTGACTTGTGAAAATGTCCTACATTAAATAATTTTTCTGGATGGACAAATCAATCCTACTTACTTAATAAACTATGTTAATAGTCAATATTAACAGAATTTTCAAACAAATGGGAGTTAAAGTACCTGGTCGGAAACTAAATATCTGTCACCAAGTAAGGAGTTTTACTAAGCATCACAAAGTGGGGTAGTGAACTCTCATTCTGGCCACTATCTTAGAACATCACTTGGAAACGTGCATACTCAGTAGTGATATGAAAAGAGAATATACATGCCATTTAAAAATAATTTTATGAACTTAACTTCAAAAGTACTTTCGAATTGTTGAAGCTATTTTCTGGAATGTTAAAAAATCTGAATACTGAACATCAAAAGAAATATGGATTAAAACAATTGCTGACCACCAAGCTTCCTGAGAATTAGTTTGGGGGAATAAGGAGAAACATGAGAAAGAAAAAGCAACATTATAGTATATAGTATGCTATCAGACATGAGGCCAGTCCCTCTGCTCCCGAGTGTCCTCGCACTGCGGCTGCCAGTGCGTCTCTAGCTCAGTGTGTCCTTTTCCACGATTCCTCCTCCTGTTTGCTCCACTTCACTCTGCCTTGGATCCCACAGTCCTGTGGGAAAACCTCACTCTGACAAGACACAGATAAGGGGCTGCACGCACCCAAGCACTTAGGAGAGTACTGCTTGAACATCCACACTGCCTCAGATGTTTCCTACATGTAGGTGATCACACAGACAGAGTGAAACTATTACGTGCTTTCTGAATTATGCAACCAGTCAACAAAGAAATAAGCAAACTGAGGAAAACTACTTCAAAAGACACACAGAAACATTCTATAATGACTATTACTGGTAAGTATTCTTTACTTTGTCCAGTTGTAGTCACAAAGGAAAATGAAATTCTGGCCAGTTCTAAGTGTTTATTTATTGTGGAAGCCTTTATTGGAATAATCACAGAAAAATCACAAGTTACTATTTTTAACTTTACCCATTATTACCAATGGGAATTTCCATAAGCTTACAACTTTGCTTCGTGGTAAGGATAGGATAGGACCACATTCACACTACTACTATTGTGTCTACAGGTAAATAAGAATTATTTCTAACTAAATCATGTCATAGCTAAGTAGTTTATTATAAGGAATACATTTTTGTAGTATAATAACCAAAGCTATATTGTGACATTTCTAGGAAAACATCAAACATTATGAGCAATTCCTAAATTACCCATTGAATGGCATGTATCACCTACAACAAATGCCAGGGAAAACATCTCTTAAAAATGAAGAGCTAAGTCTTCTCTCTTTTCCTGTTGCAGGGGCATACAGGAAATGCAGAAATGAAGTTTAAAAACAAGACCTAAGGAACTACATCATTACTGCTAGGACACTCAGCTCATTTTATCTGCGATAAACCAATGCATGTACTCACCACTGTTACTGTTCTGCAGCTTCAGTTTACTTTTCTCTCTGGCACTCCGGCTGAGAACGCCATTAGGTTTCAAGTCTTCCTCGGCCTCGCCTCTCCTTTTCTGCAGGTCATTTTGCTTCTTTTTATACGTTGGCTTAGGCTGCCGTTTAGTCCTTTGCTCTGACTTGCTCTCACTTTCATCTGAGTCTCCACTTTCAGAGCCAGACTCGTAAGTTCTTTTGGCTTTTCTCCTACTGGCTTTATCATCTCGTCCATACTTCTCTCCTGTGACTCTGCTGTCAACACTATTCTGTATATCATTAGATGTAGAGGCTATTAAATTGACAGAACAAGGCTTAATAATTTCTGATACAGAATTCCCTGAATTTTCCATTTTGTTAGTATTTTTATCTTCTTCTGAATGTCTGGTGAGCCAGGCCTTCTTCAGTTTAGTATGGTAGTTGGGTTGACTGGTCTGGGCTGCTGGCCCATTTCCTACAGAGATTGCTTTGTTACTTGCACAAATCATGGTGCTATCCAGGGGAAGAGAGGCTGCTGCTGTCTGATTTCTCACAGTATTAAGTTCAGCCTCACTGACATTACTATTTTTATACTGAGCTGCAGCCAATGCTGCCTTGTGCTTTTTTAAATGAATAAAATCAGTTGTGCCTGAGAAGCCAGAGCTAAGCTGAACACCACTTCCTGTCTTACTACAGGCCATAGTGGCTGGCTCCGTGGTGCTGACTTTGCATTCCTTTGTTTGTGCCACTGCCTGACTGACACTTTTTGAAGAAGTACATTCTAAGGATGTAGAGGCCAAAATGGTATTTGATAACGAATAAATTGCTTCTGAACCACCCAAGCTGGAAACACTGGTGGTAGTGGCAGCAGATGTGAATACATCTGTTTTGGTATTACAGACAACATTTACAGCAGACATGACTGAAACAGGAACACTACCCTGGGAGATAGCTTCGACATTGTTTTCAGATTTCACATGAGCATTTTCTAAATTCACATTTGGTAGAATGACTCTTCCAGTCTCTCCAGCTTCTGGTTTGAGGTAATCTGTTTTACTTGCCCCAGATGAAGATCTTTCACAAACTCTATCTTTGGAAGCTAACGGTACAGACGGCACACCATCAACTTTTATACTAGAAGGTGGACGGACAATGACAGATGCCACAGCACCCTGTGACTTCCCACTACTTTTTTCCACGGGCCACTCAGCTTTCTCCTTGCTGAGGTTGTTGTTAGACTTCCACATTTCTGTTATACTCTGATCAGAAGAACTCTTAAAATTTGCCTGGGAGTCTTTTGGCTCAGGAATTAGAGTTGGAGGCTTCTGGGATTCTTGAACTTTGCCGCCAGCGTTCACTGGCATCACTGGGGTCAGAGTTGGAGGGGAAAGGCTACTATAGCTACTTTCCTTTCTTTCCAAACTGTGATGGATTGGTGGGTGGAATACTGGAGCCCTATGCAAAGCAGGCATACTGCGCAGTGCATTGGTAGAAGAGACGGTCAGATGGGTAGGACTTCTACAATCACTTCTGAAAGTTGTTACTGAGTGAGATGCAATCTGATGCGGAAGATGGTCTGGTATCTTGCCTACTAAACTTTCACTTTCTGGTTGGTGTTTAATCAAAGGTGGAGGCTTTGAAAGAGATGATATATATGAAAGAGATTGCGGATTGGCTGCTGCAGGAAGGTTATTATTCTGTTTTTCAGTGTAAATATTTGAAGCTTCTTTGGATGGATATGATCTTGGTGGTTCGTTGACCACACTATTAGATAATGTAGTGAAATAGTTACTTTGGGGCAAACTCTGAGGAACCGAGTGCTTCATCTTATAAAGCTCTGACACTGAGCGTTCTATGTCTTTATCTTGTTTGATGACATGACTTTTAGGACTAGAAGACGATGGTGCTACTCTGGAGTAATTCTCTCTTTCAACCTCAGGCCCCTTGATTTTGGTTGTAAATGGGGCAACATCAATACTCTCTTGAAGGATCCGACGATGTTCCTCCTTGTATTTGTTCAATCTCTCTCCAGTCTCCTGGGATGGCCTCGGACCCACAAAATGCCTATGCAAGTGACAATCCTTTCCTCCTTGTGACCTATTAAGATCCAGGTCACTTTTCACTGACGTGGATGCATTACAACGCAATGGTTCCAAGAAAGCTTTCCTCTCCAATTCTCTACAAAGAAAATACACAAAGATTTCTGTGGTCACTTCTTTTTATACAAAACACAAGAAGGTTTTTATGAAATGTTATTCTATTATGAAAGCTTTGTTCAGTCTCTAAAACTGGAAGATACACCAGTATGACAAGAACAGAGCCACCTTTAGTGGCTTGCTCCTATGATTACTTACAAGGCTGAGGCAGGACGACTGCATGAGTTTGATGGCCAACTGACTCAACAAACCAAAGCACAACGAAAAGTGTATCTTCTAAGTTAGTTCTGACGCCAAGTTTAAATAAACTATTTAAAAAGTGCATTGAGAAAAATTATGAAAGTCAAAGGTATTTTGTAAGTTTTAAACACTGGTGAACTTACTCTTTGTGGTGATCGACTAAAGTTTTTGCCACTGGCGGACTGGAATGCACTGTAATTTTATGAGGTCGATGAGGCTCTGCACTGGAAGGTCTGACAGGAATGTGACTGAGTAATCCAATACCATCTGCTGAGGTCACAGGAGTAGGTTGATGTAACCAAGGACTGGGAGAATTCTATTAAAAAAACAAAAACAAAAAGGCTAGACTTTAGTTATTAAAAAAAGCTAACTTCCTGAGCTGAGTATGCTGTCATGTACTTAGTCCCAGTACTCAGTTTTATAGCAAGACAGACCATGGTATTTTTATTAAGCCTGACATATTTGAAAATGAATCTGATGAGAAATATTCAATTCTTTTTTTTTTTTTTTTTTGGTTTTTCGAGACAGGGTTTCTCTGTGTAGCTTTGCGCCTTTCCTGGAACTCGCTTTGGAGACCAGGCTGGCCTCGAACTCACAGAGATCCGCCTGGCTCTGCCTCCCGAGTGCTGGGATTAAAGGCGTGCTCCACCACCGCCCGGCGAGAAATATTCAATTCTTTAACCAACATTAATCATACGAACTTTCCACATTCTATTGAAAACTAATTAGCATTAAAATAGTAACTTCTAGAACTATTCCTTCACTAAAAGCAGATCTTCAGTTAGGCCTAATTTTATGACTTCCTATGATCCCAACACCAGAAGAATCTGCTGCTCACAGCAAAAGCAGAATGTTAGCCCTAAAACATTGTTCTACTGGAAGAAATTATAATCAAGTTTGTCTGTCAATTTTCCCCATATAACACTTAATTTTCTAAGAATTTATGCACAACTCCCAGATCATTACATTTAAGGCCTAAACGTGTTCCACTGTATTCTATAAGCCAGATACCAACAGGCCACTAAAGTTGGAGATGTGGAAGCATAACACAGTTATGTTTTCCACGACAATATGCTGCCTGTCTGTTGAGTTAGTATTTATATAGTGACAGTGACATATACGTTATACCCCATACATGTGATTACATGTTTAAAAACTGTTTTCTATACTGTGACTCAATATAACTCAAGAGTATGCTTTGTAAATCTATTATCAGGATTGAGTCATATACCAGGAAAATTCAAACCACCTTTATTTTGACTAAAAGGAATAAATCTTATAACTCACAACAATAATACAAGGGTAGCATGTATCATAAAGATAGCTTAATGGTAAGTTATAGCTCTAAACCTCACAAGAGAATAGTGCACAATGATGCACAGAAAAAAACACTTAAATATAAAATGATACAGAAGGCCATAGTTACATAAGTCTCAGAAGTCTTGAGTCACAGTAATTTATGACTATGATGAAAGCTTTTGCCTTATGAAGTACCATTTAAAATGATTTCCTAATCTAGTGGCTTCTGCTTACATTGTCTGATCACCCTGATCACAAACATGAGGTTA